TGCAGAATAAGTCCCGCCTTCTAAAGTGAATGAGCCAATCGCTGATTGGAAAAATTATTATGTCACTGCATCTCCCGTGAGAAACCCCGTTCCCATAGAAACCTGAGACTCGCTCTTATGACTGCACATGCGCATTGACTCGTCTAGCCTGAAAAATACGTATAAAAAGCATAAATAGGGACAGTTCATGTCAGATTTTGTTGCTGATTGCATTTAATTGTGAGTTCGGCAAGCAATTTTTGAGATTTCAGGATTCCCCCATTCAAATGTCTGAAACAGCTGGAAATATGGACGCCGAGTGAACAGACTTTCCTTGAAAGGGACTTTGGTGAAAATAGCCACTGCCATTGCAAAATCACCCTCTCAAACGATCTTTATCAAACCTCTAAACTCTTTTCAAATCTTTTAAAGATCTGACGCAAGTAACCTGGCAAAAATGGCAAAATACAGCAATTCTTTTTCCCCCTCAGAAACACTCGTACTGCATAAACACAACTCTGTACCCAGACGGACTGAAACAAGCTTAATGTCATCCCATCAGATTAGAGCTCGCCAGATTCTCTTTACATCAGATTACCAAGTGAAATGGCTCGTAAACAGTGTTTCAGTGGTTTACATGCTGCTTGCTTAAAGTTACAACCGGGCGTAACACACTTTTCCCTTAATTCCCTTAAATCCGTCAAGAGCCTCAGGATGTACAAATTAAAGTCCGTGAGAGCTGACATTTAAAAAGTAAATTGACTTGTTACAGATTTCATGTACATGTACAGCATCCAGCTTCATCTGACACTTGCACACTTTCACTATAGTAACTCTATTGCTGCATCTCACTTCGCCCACTTATACTACGCCCTAAAAGTATTTACTCTTCTTGTGAATAAAAAGTGCATACTTTTGAGCGTGTAGCAGAAGAGTAGACAAGCTTTGGGACAAACTATCACGTCCTACAATTGCGTCTTTCATGACGAGACTCTCCTCATATTAATGCATAATGATGTATTTAAAAGTTAATGGCCAAACCGATCTTTAAAAAAGTCCACATTGTTATTGCAGATGAAATATAACACGAATAACATTAAATAAATATATATTTTTTATCAGGTTAAACTTTCTAAACCTCTCACTGTCGGTCGCATTATCCGACATGTTTTGTAGTTTTTAACACTTTTTTTTTTACTCGTGTTTGTAGTTCCTCCTCCAAAGCGCAATGGATTGTGGGTAATATTAGCTGTTATAGTGAGCACGGATCCACACTTGGAAAATCCACCGGGAATAGTAGACATCCGGGGACTTCTGGCACGCTCTTTACAACATACTATGCTTTGGGACACACTTATTCTAATATCACACACTGTTAAGGATGGATAGTGTGGTCATTGAGACGCAGGGTATTTGTCAGGCGGTAACACACTTTTTCCTTAATTCTGCAGATCCACCAAGAGCCTCACAATGTACAAATTAAAGTCTGTGAGAGCTGACATTTAAAAAATAAATTGACTTGTTACAGACTTCATGTACAGCATCCAGCTTCATCTGAGACTTGCACACTTTCACTATAGTGACTCTATGTATCCCTAAGAGACGAGGCACGTCTGCTGAAGGAAAGAAAGAGTAAGAGTATAAGAGTATATGAGTAAGAGTAAGAGTACAAGAGTAAGAGTACAAGAGTAAGAGTATAAGAGTAAGAGAGAAAGAGAGTAAGAGTATAAGAGTAAGAGAGTAAGAGTAAGAGTAAAAATAAGAGTAAGAGTATGAGTAAGAGAGTAAGAGTATAAGAGTAAGAGAGTAAGAGATTACGAGAGTAAGAGTATAAGAGAGTAAGAGTATAAGAGTAAGAGTATAAGAGTAAGAGTAAGAGTAAGAGAGTAAGAGAGTAAGAGTACAAGAGTAAGAGTACAAGAGAAAGAGTAAGAGTATAAGAGTAAGAGTAAGAGAGTAAGAGTTCAAGAGTAAGAGTAAGAGTAAGAGTAAGAGTAAGAGTAAGAGTAAGAGAGTAAGAGTACAAGAGTAAGAGTATAAGAGTAAGAGTATAAGAGTAAGAGTAAGAGAGTAAGAGTATAAGAGTAAGAGAGTAAGAGAGTAAGAGAGTAAGAGTAAGAGAGTAAGAGTAAAAATAAGAGTAAGAGTAAGAGTAAGAGAGAAAGAGAGTAAGAGTATAAGAGTAAGAGAGTAAGAGTAAGAGTAAAAATAAGAGTAAGAGTATGAGTAAGAGAGTAAGAGTATAAGAGTAAGAGAGTAAGAGAGTAAGAGAGTAAGAGAATAAGAGAGTAAGAGTAAGAGTATAAGAGTAAGAGTGTAAGAGTAAGAGAGTAATAGAGTAAGAGAGTAAGAGAGTAAGAGAATAAGAGTATAAGAGTAAGAGTATAAGAGTATAAGAGTATAAGAGTAAGAGAGTAAGAGAGTAAGAGAGTAAGAGTAAGAGTAAAAATAAGAGTAAGAGTATGAGTAAGAGAGTAAGAGTATAAGAGTATAAGAGTAAGAGAGTAAGAGTATAAGAGTAAGAGAGTAAGAGAGTAAGAGAGTAAGAGATTAAGAGAGTAAGAGTAAGAGAGTAAGAGAGTAAGAGAATAAGAGTACAAGAGTAAGAGTATGAGAGTAAGAGAGTAAGAGAGTAAGAGAGTAAGAGAGTAAGAGTGTAAGAGTGTAAGAGTAAGAGTATAAGAGTAAGAGAGTAAGAGTAAGAGTAAGAGAGTAAGAGTATAAGAGTATAAGAGTATAAGAGAGTAAGAGAGTAAGAGTATAAGAGTAAGAGAGTAAGAGTAAGAGTAAGAGAGTAAGAGTATAAGAGTATAAGAGTATAAGAGAGTAAGAGTATAAGAGTAAGAGAGTAAGAGTAAGAGTAAGAGAGTAAGAGTATAAGAGAGTAAGAGTATGAGAGTAAGAGAGTAAGAGTAAGAGAGTAAGAGAGTAAGAGTGTAAGAGTGTAAGAGTAAGAGTATAAGAGTAAGAGAGTAAGAGTAAGAGTAAGAGAGTAAGAGTATAAGAGTATAAGAGTATAAGAGTATAAGAGTATAAGAGTAAGAGAGTAAGAGAGTAAGAGAGTAAAAGAGTAAGAGAGTAAGAGTATAAGAGTATAAGAGAGTAAGAGAGTAAGAGTACAAGAGTGAGAGTATAAGAGAGTAAAAGAGTAAGAGTATAAGAGTAAGAGAGTAAGAGTAAGAGTAAGAGAGTAAGAGTATAAGAGTATAAGAGTATAAGAGTATAAGAGAGTAAGAGTAAGAGAGTAAGAGAGTAAGAGAGTAAAAGAGTAAGAGAGTAAGAGAGTAAGAGAGTAAGAGTATAAGAGTATAAGAGTATAAGAGTATAAGAGAGTAAGAGTAAGAGAGTAAGAGAGTAAGAGAGTAAAAGAGTAAGAGAGTAAGAGTATAAGAGTATAAGAGAGTAAGAGAGTAAGAGTAAGAGAGTAAGAGAGTAAGAGAATAAGAGTATAAGAGAGTAAGAGAGTAAGAGTAAGAGAGTAAGAGAGTAAGAGAATAAGAGTATAAGAGTAAGAGAGTAAGAGTAAGAGTAAGAGAGTAAGAGTATAAGAGTAAGAGAGTAAGAGTACAAGAGTGAGAGTATAAGAGTAAGAGAGTAAGAGAGTAAGAGTATAAGAGTGAGAGTATAAGAGTAAGAGAGTAAGAGAGTAAGAGTATAAGAGTATAAGAGAGTAAGAGTAAGAGAGTAAGAGTATAAGAGTAAGAGAGTAAGAGTACAAGAGTGAGAGTATAAGAGTAAGAGAGTAAGAGTATAAGAGTGAGAGTATAAGAGTAAGAGAGTAAGAGAGTAAGAGTATAAGAGTATAAGAGAGTAAGAGAGTAAGAGTATAAGAGAGTAAGAGTATAAGAGTATAAGAGTAAGAGAGTAAGAGAGTAAGAGAGTAAGAGTACAAGAGTGAGAGTATAAGAGTAAGAGAGTAAGAGTATAAGAGTATAAGAGAGTAAGAGAGTAAGAGTATAAGAGAGTAAGAGAGTAAGAGAGTAAGAGTATAAGAGTATAAGAGAGTAAGAGAGTAAGAGTAAGAGAGTAAGAGAGTAAGAGTATAAGAGTATAAGAGAGTAAGAGAGTAAGAGTATAAGAGAGTAAGAGAGTAAGAGTAAGAGAGTAAGAGTACAAGAGTGAGAGTATAAGAGTAAGAGAGTAAGAGAGTAAGAGTATAAGAGTATAAGAGAGTAAGAGAGTAAGAGTATAAGAGTATAAGAGAGTAAGAGAGTAAGAGAGTAAGAGTATAAGAGTATAAGAGAGTAAGAGAGTAAGAGTAAGAGAGTAAGAGAGTAAGAGAATAAGAGTACAAGAGTAAGAGTATGAGAGTAAGAGAGTAAGAGTAAGAGAGTAAGAGAGTAAGAGTGTAAGAGTGTAAGAGTAAGAGTATAAGAGTAAGAGAGTAAGAGTAAGAGTAAGAGAGTAAGAGTATAAGAGTAAGAGAGTAAGAGTACAAGAGTGAGAGTATAAGAGTAAGAGAGTAAGAGAGTAAGAGAGTAAGAGTATAAGAGTATAAGAGAGTAAGAGAGTAAGAGTACAAGAGTGAGAGTATAAGAGTAAGAGAGTAAGAGTACAAGAGTGAGAGTATAAGAGTAAGAGAGTAAGAGTACAAGAGTGAGAGTATAAGAGTAAGAGAGTAAGAGAGTAAGAGAGTAAGAGTATAAGAGTATAAGAGAGTAAGAGAGTAAGAGTACAAGAGTGAGAGTATAAGAGTAAGAGAGTAAGAGAGTAAGAGAGTAAGAGAGTAAAAGAGTAAGAGAGTAAGAGTACAAGAGTGAGAGTATAAGAGTAAGAGAGTAAGAGAGTAAAAGAGTAAGAGAGTAAGAGTATAAGAGTATAAGAGAGTAAGAGAGTAAGAGAGTAAAAGAGTAAGAGAGTAAGAGTAAGATTAAGAGAGTAAGAGTAAGATTAAGAGAGTAAGAGTAAGAGTAAGAGTAAGAGTAAGAGTAAGAGTAAGAGTAAGAGTTAGAGTATAAGAGTAAGAGTAAGAGTAAGAGTAAGAGTAAGAGTAAGAGTAAGAGTAAGAGTCTGATTCTGACCTAACTTCAGGAGCCAGCCTTCTCGGTCCGGGTTGAAGAACGTGTGTGTGAGGTCGTTGCCGTCGTCCTCTGGGATTTTGAAGGGTTCGCTCTTGATGCTCTCGTACAGGTTCTGCAGAGACATTAGTCTGTTAATGTATGCAGATTCAGAACATTTACACGCATGCCTCTGTAAAATATTTTAAACAGTCCTATATGGCTGCAACTGCATTAATCATGACTGGCTCAGAGATTTAAAGTCATTCATATGGAAACTGACCCAAATGAGACAGGAGAGTAAATATAGTTAGTGTTAGCTGACTCGACTGAACCGGTTAAAGGATTAGTTCACTTCAGAATTAAAATTTCCTGATAATTTAATAATTAAGATTTTTGAGGAAAACGTTCCAGGATTTTTCTCCAGTGCAGCTTCAAAGTCTCGAACACGATCCAGCCGAGGAATAAGAGTCTGATCTAGACAAACCATTCGCCATTTTCTTATAAAAATAAACATTTATCCACTTTTGAGCAGGATTACCCTGAGCAGGTCCTCCGGCAGGTCTCCGCCCTCATTAATGCCCCTGTTCATGGAGATGAAGCGCTCTACGGCCGGTTTGTCCCTGACGTTGGGGTTGTGAAGGCTGGTGTTCAGCATGATGATGGCGAAGGACAGGACGTAACATGTGTCTGCAACATAAACAGACAAATAATTCAATAACCACACACACACAACACACACACATAAGCCAATGCACAGTAAAAAGCCTTGTAAGCATTTTCTGTACAGTAACTGGCATTGAAAAAGATGTGTATATTTTGATCAATATAATGCATACTGAATAGAAGTATTCATTTCTTTTTCTTTTCTTTTTTAAATCTTACTCACCCCAAACTTTTGAATGATAGTGTATCACGATTTGCACAGAAATCTGAAGTAGCACAACTGTTTTCAACACTAATAATAATCATAAATGTTTCTTGAGCATCAAATCATCATATCAGAGTGATTTCTGAAGGATCATGTGACACTGAAGACTGGAGTAATGATGCTGAAACTCAGCTTTGATCACAGGAATAAATTATATATTTACATAGAAAACAGCTGTTTAAATTGTAATAATATTTCACTGTTTTTACTGTATTTCTGATCAAATAAAAGCTTTGGTGAGCAGAAGAGACTTCTTTCAAAAACATTATTCCAAACTTTTGACTGCTAGTATAATTTATATCCACATAGGGAAGCTTTGTTTTGATTTAAGGGCTCGTCACAGAGAAAATTGGCATAAATAAACCTTCAAATAGAAAAAGGCCTATTGTTTCTGCCAGACTGAGCTGTTTTCTTTCCGTTTACTCTGTAAACACATCATGACGTGAGCTCGCGACTCGTTTCATTACCATAAACAATCAAAGAAATGTTCAGTAACAACTTATTTTAAGGTGACGAAGTTACACGTTACTGCATGAACTTATTATAGTAATAACAGTACATTATGCATAATTACAAGTAAACTAACCAAAACCAAACCCCGACATCACATGCAGGTGTTGGAGAAATAACTTCTGCTATTGAATCGATTCGAGATCACAATTAATGTAATATTAGGTAACGCTTTAGATTACAGCCCGGAAAGTACTGCGTAATTAAAGCGATTTTACAACTTAACCTTCGGTAATTATAGTGTACCTATAACGTACTTACAATATAAGTATAAGGGAACAATATTTTAAGTTTGGGGAATAAAGGGGTAACAACCAGGAGAATTTAAAAAAACGATTTATACTGAAAGTATTATAGAACTAAGGGGAACTTATTCTACTATTATGATATAACAATCTTACATTTGGGAGCAATTTAGCGAGAACATACACTGCGTAACTTTTTGAAATAATGGTGAACCAGTACATACTGTATAGGCTTTATAAAAATTACAGGGTACATATCTATGCATTTATAAAGTAATCTTTTTAACAAAAGTGCACTGAAAACGAAAACAATTGCAACTTTTGCTTAAATATTGGGGAAAGATACTCTTGTTTCATGTAGTGGTGCTTGTTACCCTCTTGTTCCATGTAGTTACAGGGTAAGTACAATAAAAATGCATACACACATTCTTATATCACTGACTCGGAAACCTTTATTTATTATACAAGCACCACTTACCCTGTAACCAGATATATTTCCCAGTATTTAAAATTGCAATAGTCTTAGTTGTTCTTGCCTTGAAACATGTAAGCCCAAACTTAAACATCTGCACTTTTGCTATAAAAAACAACAACAACAACTATACAGTATGTATTGGTTCACAATTATTACAAAAAGGTACGCAGTGTATGTTCTCGCTAAATTGCTCCCAAATGTAAGATTGTTGTTTCATAATAGTAGAATAAGTACCCCTTACTTCTATAATACTTACAGTATAAATATATTTTTTAATTCTACTGGTTGTTACCCCTTTATTCCCCAAACTTTACATTTTGTTCCCTTATACTTACATGCAAGTACTTTATAGGTACACTATAATTACAGAAAGTTACACAGTAAATTCCTCATAATTACACAGTACTTCCCGGGCTGTAATCTAAAGCGTTACCTAATATTATTATAGTTGGTTTGCATAAGCAACAGAAAGCCATTAGCATACGTTAGCATGCTCCAGTAACGAATTGAGGAGGACTACTTTACTGTTTTTGTTTTGTTATTTGTTATGTTAGATTGTTTTTTGAGCATGATCTGTTTAAGTCTATGTAATTCATAAGTCTAAGAAGTAATTCAGGGGACCTGTTACCACAACTTAAATAAATTAAAGTTAAGAAATTCGAATTTATTGTTTTAATCAAACCTTTTAAGTTGCAAACATAATTTTTGAGTTTTTGAGTTGAGTATTTAGATTTCTGTTGACATAATAATGTTGATCATTACATCAACTTAATATCGTCTGTAATCGATGCTTTTGGGAAACGCGCCCCTGAAAGAGAAAACTTTATGCTAATGTCCTTGCAGCAATGCTGAGAATGCAACAAGGATGCACATAAACAATTTTGCAAGATGCATTTCGATTGGGTGTGTTTTGGGCCTAAACTGATGTTTTTTTTTACCAACATCTCTCTGAAACGGAGCAGGACAGAAGCGAGGTCTGCATTAGTATGGACACTGGCTGTTTTGCTCATGTCTGACCTGTGGACTGAAAGACTCCCGGGTTGCACTGGCAGTACCGGGACGCAAACGCCTCCATCATTCGGTCAATCTTCTGTGCCTCGCCAGGGAGTCTGAAACTCCAGAGGAACTGCCTGTGTGGAGACAGCAAAGCCCTCAGAAAAACAGCCACGACTCAACAAGTACAGTACACCCTCGGTTTGGGCAAACTTAAATTCAATCAAATCAACTTTTATGAGTATTTAGAACTTTCTTTTTCTTTTGAGTTCACAAAACTGACACATTTGAAGTAATATGAATTGTTGAGTTTTGAGTTTGAGAGAATTTGGGTTTTATGAACCTGTTTCTTTTAATTTAGACAAACTTAAATTTTGACTAAAACTGGGCTGGAATTTCTGTTTCCCAGCATGCTTCGAGTGTCATGGCAAACCATGACACTCGAACGGGAGAGTAAATGCTAAAATGATTTTTTCTGATTCTGAATCAGAATTAATTGGTTTGAGAAAATGTATGTTGTTTTATACTGTTGTACTCATTCACCAATTGCTCTTCTAATGCTATCAAAGCATTGTGTTGCCAATTAGCAAGTTAGCATTTACTGAATTATTTGGCTAGTTGTTAAAGCTAGCCAAATTTACACTACTAAAATATTTGAGTTGAGATTACATGATCATTTTATGTTAAATGTATGAATTAGTTTACTCAATTTTTTTAAGTTAAGAGCAATTTAAATGTTAAGTTTGAATTTCTTAACTTAAAAAAATTGATGTAACAGATTTGCCAACTTATTAAAAACTTATATTAAAAATAGTTAATTGTCATGAAAATAATTTCACACTGCAAAATAAATAAATATTAATGGTCAAGTTTGACAAGTTTAACGTGATTTACCTTCATACTATAAAAAAGGGGAATTTTTGAGCAAAATAGAAACCAGTTCATTATGATATAATAATTCTAAGCCAAATAGTGTAGAAACGAGGCATTCCTGCAGAGAAGCTGTTCCCACCTCAGAGCCTGAACGAGGTTGAGGTCGGCAAACTCATGGAGCTCGACAAAAGCCTGGAGCACTTTGATGTTGAAATCATCCCTACGAGAAAACAACAACCACACACAGAAGAAACGGTTACTTCCTGCAAGGAAAGGTCAATTGTTTGTCATTAAAAAGTAGATTTTTAAGATCGTTTGTGATGTTCAGCAGCCTTCGACTCTTGTATCTTTAGCTATGCTTCATGAAATCCTTTTGTTTTGACAAGTCTCATCCCAAGAGGTGGTCCGTTCACTGCTCCTGTTTTACTCACTAAACCCAGACAAGTAAGAGACTGAAGGAATGAAGCGAAGGTTTACCGTTCGCCCAGGTAATCCCCAATGACGGTTTTGTTCAAGCCTTCTCCTTTATAGAGGAACTGAGCGATGTCTTCAGGCGTCTGCTGCAGGAGGTCGTTCTCCAGAAGAAACTGGATCCCCTGCGAGAAAGTTGATTTAAAAAAGGATTTTAGGATCAACCCAGGAAATATAAATGCCAGGAAAAGTATGTGGAAAATTTCCAAATGTAATACACTATGTCAGGGAAAATGTCACAATGTTGATCACTCAGTGATAGCCTACTATAAAGAAAAGGCTTTAAAAGTATTAAAACATTTAGGAACGAATGAAAATATATAAAATCTGACAATACAATAACTTACTTTTTTGGGGTCCATGTTGAATTTCTTTCTTCCCATTGCAATTTGTTTGTTTCTCTGTGTTGTTTTGCTGCAAATGGAAGTAACAAAGATCTTAACAAAGATCCCCTAATAAGACTGAAGGCGGACAAAGAACCTCTTGAGTGATTGGCCTGCGCATACAATGTGCCAAACAACACTTTCATAACTATCAAACAGTCCTGATTACAGGCACAAGTCCTGTAGATTTAAGAGCCTTATCAAAGTCCATTTGAGGCACGTCGTTTCACTGACAACAACTGTCCCATAAATGTTGTTTCTTATGATCAAATAACATTAAAAAAAAGTGTATTTTTCAGGCTGGACCAGCCAATGCGCATGTGCGTCTCAGAACTACTTCCATTCCATACATATATATATATAATGCATTTATCATTCTGATTCAACTATTAATTATAATGCTAATCAGATTGCTAATGCTAGTGACAGATTCATTAAACAATCTGCTTAAACGTTATGATCAGGCTGAAATGATCATTGATATTGTTAAAAACAAACTGCATCGTATGTAACAGAGCAGGTGCAGGTGCTACACAACATCAGTTTACCAGCTACCATTTCTTCTCTCATTAGTTCACACAAATCATTGTAAGAAAGAAGTAAAGGAATTAGTTTGTAAGAATATTAAGTGCAATTCTAGAGGAATTCTTAGGGATTTCTTAAATATTTTCTTGAGGAAATTACAGGCTTTGATGTTATCTGTTCGTATGATGGTTCTTACCGAAGACCTGCAAGAACAACTCTACTTTTGATTTATTTATGTTTGATTTATTAATTATTTTATTGTATTTTATCATTTTTACGAAGAGTCTTATCAAGAATTTGAATTAGTTTAGTTTTGTCTATATAATAGTTTTGTCTTAAGAACGATCTTGTAACGATCATGTTCTGTTTATGGACTTTTATTTTGTATTTAATTGTTTTCTATAGTGTTCTGTTCATGCTGCCATTTTATCGCTTCTTTTCTGTTTCCTAGGTTACGGATTATGCCCTTGTTTGTTGCCATGGTACTGGTTGCTTTGTGCACCTGTTTCTTGTTCAATTTAGTTTTCTCCTGTTTAGGGGCTGTTTACACGACACCATTTTCAACAGAAAAAGAAAAATGCTTATGCATTTTGCCCATTCATTTACGCAACAACAGCGTTTTAGGGGCCTGAAAATGAAAACTTTCAAAATGCAAGTTTTTGAAAAACACGTGTTAACTTCAAAAACATGAATTTGTGAAAACGGTGACTTCATGCACATGTGTATTACGTGTTCAGTCTATAAGCACGTAGTGTTTCTTTACAAAGTGACAGCGCCAACTACTGGCCTGGCATGAATAATACAGCATGTTTGTTTAGTCGTTTTCATGGATTTGTGTGAACGGGGATCGTTTTAACAACGTTGCCGTCTGTACGTGAACAATGAAAGGAAAAACTTTTCTGTTTTTAGTACGTCATCGTTAAATAAACATACCCTGAGTTCTCCTCACTTTCTGTTTGTGTTGATTCTTCTCTTCTGGATTGGCTTCTAAGCATCAGTTTTTTGTAAATAAATTAAACCACTGTAATTAAGATATTTTACTCCACTCCCTTGTTTTGCACCATGACAGATCTTTAGAAAAGAACGTTCTTAAGAAAAAAATATATACCTTTTTTTTTCCAAAAGAGAAAATAGTTTAAAATAGTAACTTTATTTTTATTTAGTTATTTTTGTGAATATTTTGGTGTTTAGGAATATAGGCTACACCTTCCTATATTATCTACGTTTCTGAACACCCAATATACCTCAATTACATGAACATGGACGTGTGTTTAAATGTATTAATCTGCCTGAAAATTAGTGCAGCTTATTTTCAATAAATAGTCTTTTTGGACACAGAAAGGGCGTTTTGAGTTCTGTTACATTCATCATTTCAATCTCAGATAAACCAGAAAAAATGTATTCCTCATCACATGATTAAACTAAAAACTAAACTAGCACTTTGGGTTATCGAACGTTAGATATTCAACATAGATTTCCTCGCACAGAGTCAATCTATATTCCTGTTTAAAGCTCAATAAAAGACATAAGTGTGTACAGCACACATCTCCTGCAGGTGACCTGTCAACCAGACGACACAGTCTGAATAGAGCGCTTATGAATGTTTAGAAGAGGACAGATCAGTGACGACACTCAGACAAAAGACAGACAGGTGCAAATCTGCATGAGCTTCAGTTGAGCTGCAATGAAAAGGAAACATTTCCCATCTCTCATAACTCACCTCTCGCCCACACACGTGAGCTGCTCGATTTCTGTCATCACTTCAGCGATCTCAAACTTCAAGCGCTGGAAAACAGAGGTTCATATCAAACACACGACTCTACGTGATATTCAAACACTAGAGCCCAAGATCATGCCGTTGACTCCCCGGAAATGTGAAAAGCGTACCTTGAATACAATGTAAGTTGCTTCAGATGAAAATTGCCTATTACAATGTGCTAAAGCTGTTTAACCAACAGAGAAACAAGTACTTTTTATGTTGCATTCAATTAGGAAAAATAGGTTTTGTTCAGATGTTCAGTGTTCAGAATGCAATAGCAGCTCACTATATGTGAAGCAATAGATACATAATACACACACAACTTCAACTATTCTACAACTTTATTTTCGACTGCATTCTCACCTCAATATCATCAAGCAGTTCTTTTTTCCTGCGCCGTATATTGGACAGCTCGTCTCGCTCCTCTAAGGACAGGTCTTCAGGAACTGTAACCAAACACACACACACACACACACACACACACACACACACACACACACACACACACACACACACACACACACACACACACACACACACACACACACACACACACACACACACACATGGGTAAGCATGTTTAGATGAGCATCTTAAATGTTTAAATCAGCAATAATGTGGGTCAAACGCTTCCCTCAGCTTTCAAACTCAATACTGTCTCCAGAGAAGTGAGACATACTGAGAAGTGTTTTTGCCATAAAGTCAGGTCGCCTTTGCTTACATAGTGCTTTATACAATACAGATTGTTTTAAAGCAGACTCACAGTAAAATAATGAATCCATGCAAGCTTTATAATCAAATATGAGACAAACTCAAATTCTCTTAAAAAAGTGTCATTATTCAGCTGAAGTCAGTTCAGTGTTGATTCAGTTCAGTTCAATGAGTGTGTAAAGTTCATCAATTATGAAATTAATTCAATTCAGCTATAAAGCATCCGTTAACTTTACTTGAAAAAAAATCTTGCAAACTTATTGCCTCCGAAAAAAATCTGGTAACGTTATCAATATATTCAAGTTTTCATAACTTATAGTCTGAGTTTTACTAACTTGATATTTCTGAGTAACAGTGTTCTCCCAGAGTGCATTGCAGCATGAATACATTAAGAAATTGCTTTTTGGCTTTTTTTTTATTGGCATTAATATATCACCCACATTTTCTTATCGGACCGATAACGAGAACATTAAAAATGAATGTATATCGGCCGATACCGATATGGTGGCCGATATATCGTGCATCCCTACTGTGAATTCAGACATACTAATTATTTCACATACTGATTTTCACCCCTTCCTTATATATTAGGGAATAAGGCATGTGTGGATGTGGGTTTGCTGGTCTGATAAAGCTGTTGCCCCATACTAGCGCTAGCCAATCAGATTGAAGCTTTCTATTTCAGCAACATCTTGCCATTGAAGTGTTCATAATACATCAGAACGGCCTGTGATGTGCCGTCGAGAGTTGAATACTGCACATCTAGTAAAATGAACATCATGTTTTCAGAGTCTGCACTGATAACTTCTGTATTTTTTCTGTACCGACCGTGTCTCCCTTTTAAATGATTTCACGGGGAATTGGATACTATAAATAAACCATGATAAACAAGTAAACAGGTCTTTCAAACGGAGCTGTGTTCATTGTTAATCTCGTCAAGAAAATTTGCTGATGAATACAGCATGTTGATAAAAGTCTTTTTCGTCAATGATAATGAAGGCAAGAAATGTAAATCATCATGATGACTCATTTTAATTAAACATACTGTGGATGAAAATAAAATGATGTTAAAATTAACAATGCAGGAGACAAATGTAGAAATAATTGATTCAAATAATCAAAGCTGTTTGAGCTGCGATAATTGAACCTCTTTATAAATCAACTCACTCGAACACAAAACTTGTACTGAACTGAACTGAATAATGCCACTATTGTCTTCTGTAGAGTTGCTTTAAAGCTGAATCATATTTGTTTTTGATTTGGCAACATCGGCACTGTTGTTGAACTGAACTGACTCGAGCTGAATAACGACACTATTGTAATTAACAATCTAAGTTACATGAAAGTCAGTACTGTGTAATTTAAAAAAAGGCACAGGGAGACGTAGGCGAATCCAAACACGGAGCAAAGCATGCGAAACAAACACCTCACGCGGACCAGACAATGAACAAGGGAACACTGGGGTATGAATACACAGGATACTAACAAGGAACAGGTGTGGCTAATGAATCGCTATGGAAACTAATAAGAGTAACTATGGAAACTAACTAAACAACAGGTAACAACAGGAAAAGAAAATTCACTTCAAAATAAGAGTCTGTAAACACAAGACAGGGGAAACGAGACAGGAATTGTGACAACATGTAATGCAATATCTTATAAAGTCTCTAAAACACTGACAGTCAATAACAGTGTCTAATGCATGACTGATTCACAGAATAGCTTATAAAAAAGCAGCTTTTGCACACGCTGGTTTTCAGTGTTCTTGTTATATTTTGTTTATTTGGAGATTGAACTGTTACAGTTTGACACATCTTTGTTATTTTGTACTAACAAAATGATATGTCCATTCCAATCCATGTTTAACAAGGAGAAGCGCCCGCACACATAACGGTAGATTTCCTACATTCAATTAGTGGACAATGCAAATACATTCCCATTCCCGAACTAAAATAGCATAGTCTCAACTACATTGAAAGGACATTATTTAGTCAAAAAAACGAAGACTGTGTGAAAGACTCGGGTTCTGCGTGAAGATGTCTGCGATTGATCCAGCATCCAGAAGAAGTAGGTCACTCCTGTATTTGCAGATTTCAGCTCTCCTCCGCTCTCTCTCTCTCTCTCTCTGCCAGATCCATTGCTTGGGAAGAGAAATCCCATCTGCATCCCTCCACTATAAGCTGCTTTCAATTTCATCTCCCATTTTCACTTCCTACTCTGTTGTCAACTGTAAAACCCCTTTAAGGCCAAAAAAACCCAATAGTGAGCATTAGTTCCTATAGCTTTCTGATGGCCTGGGACGTCTATAGATGGGTGACTGCGGCTTCTCGAGGGTTCAAGGAAACAATGAATGTTTTCCATAAAGACAGAAATGATGACACTAACCACGTCCTTGGCTGCACACAATGGTTTCTGGGCTCTCTTTGACACAGAGCATAAAGAGGCATTTATGGAGCGATTCCCCACAGGCAAACCTACGCCTACAGCACAGAAATCCTGCATCATCTGAGAGAATTCCCATGGAGGAATAAAGAGGCGAATGTCTCGGATAGTCGGGCTTTTGGGCTCGGTGTCAAACCCTCGCTGTGTGTTGGTGAGAGCACACGCAGGAAGCACAGGGTCATTTGATATCATCACGGAGGCTCTAATGCATAAAACATGAACTACAAGGGAGGGGAAAAGGAAACTTGTGTGCCCAAAAAATGGCTTTTTTCATTGTGACTGGCGTGTGAAGCGTGTGAGTTTAAATGCCATCATATAGGTCAGTTCAATAGGGTTGGGTATCGTTTCAATTTAACGATTCCGAAAAATAAACTAATGCACGAAATGCAAAACAAACAACTCACGCGTAACATCCACTAAGCACAACACCAGACAACACCATCAAAATGAACAGGTTAAAGATCACATACACAAGGATCTATACCTGTTGTTTATAAATACCATAGAAACACAACTAGCCCAACTAATGTCACATTAAAGTCACATTGAAATGCTCACAAAGGAATCTATAAGGGGAATCAAAATTTTCATTTTATAACAAGTATCCGTTTCCTGACCTCAAGTATTCAATTCCAGAATTGGAATTGATTTTCGATTCCCAACCCTATACTCAGCAAGAGACTCACTACGACCTGGGGCCGGTTTCACAAAGCTATGTTAGACCGGTCTATAGTGTTAGACAAGTCTAAAATTTGCTCATAGACTAGTCTAATGCAAGTTAGACTGTTTCACAAAAATAAAGACTGACTTAAAGGTGCTCTATGTAACTTTTAGTGGCCTCTAGTGGTGATGTTTCAGATAGCAACCAAATTTTACAAGAGCGCTCGTGCTCGAACTCATAGACAATATCGTCTATTACGCAAATATCTCGGCGAATACTTGACGGATTCGGCGAGCACCGAGCTCGTTGGGACCATCTAATCGAGCTGAAAAGAACCATATAAGTTCCATAGTTTTTGGTGGTGTTTTCGCGGAGATATTAGCAGAAAACCATCGGGCGCGCTGCAAAATTGCGGACGCCGGTGACGTCACGATCTCAGAAGAAAATCGCTCGCATCTCTGGAACGCAAAGACCCAGAGAGCTCAAATTCGGGGGAGGAGGTCCCAGGGGAACCCTTGCCTGAACGCTAGAGTGGCGGGCCTCGGGGACGCCCCCTACCGGATCGCCGTTCGCTGGGACCCCCGATTTCGAACGGCTATAACTCGGGGAGCCGGGCGAGTTGGACCTCGGGGGTGGGCTCGTTCGAAAGGCCCCGTCCAGCACTACGAACGATTAGAGTCTTAGGAATATTGATCAAAGATTGACTGAGATATAAGCCGAAAAACGTGCGCCTTTAACCGGACGTAACTCCCTGACCGTCTACAATAGACTGTATATAAGGAGAGAGGCTCGGGAGCACGCGTGCACGTCACATCCGTTGGATTTCGCGGTAAATCCGACCCGGAGACTTCACATAGAAATAGGAATACTGGCCTTCAGAGGTAATAGCAAAACTCGACAAGTGGATCATTTTAATGTGTGATTACAACCCCTTCACACACAGGCAATAAAAAAAGGATTCATTTTTAGAAGAAAAGTTACATAGAGCACCTTTACTTTAGACCAAAAAAATTAGACACCTTAACCCCAGGCTAACTTAGGTCTAAGACTCTGTTACCTTGGCAACCAGCAGTAACAATCATTACAAACAGCCAAAACAAAAGGGAAAATGGCCCTTTCCAAATTAAACATTTCTTCTTGTTACTACATTCTCTGCTAAATTTCCCAGGTAAAATGTACTTGTAACTGTTATACTCCTCCAACAAACACATATTTTCCGCTGGAGTAAACTGCTCTGAGCGGTTGAATGCGCTTACTCGATCCGCCATGTTTTTTGTTTTGAAAAGTGTCTTATTTTACCCAGAATGCATTGCAGTGTAGTGCTACTTAAAGGATTAGTTCACTTTAAAAAAAAACTTTTGCTGATAATTTACTCACCCCCATGTCATTCAAGATGTCCATGTCTTTCTTTCTTCAGTCGAAAAGAAATTAAGGTTTTTGATGAAAACATTCCAGGATTTTTCTCCATATAATGCACTTTACTGGGCACCAAACGGTTCAAGATCCAAAAGACAGTTTCAGTGCGAACTGTTCAAATGGCTTTAAACGACACCAGACGATGAATAAGGGTCTTATCAAGCGAAACGCTCATTTAAAAAATAAATAACAAAGTTTAAGTTTTATAAGCTCAAA